CACTCAGTGTCACCACCGCCACCATCACCATCGCAACCACCGCACCTATCATAGTCCACCTCGCACATTGGACTTACCTCGACATCCCCAGACACCTGCACACACACGCAAACTCACATCACCACCACCACGCACCCCATTACTCACCCACCTATCGCTTTTACAGACTGTAGGGGCAAGTGCTGTTAGCGAGTAGCAGCTATGAAGGCCGGCACGGCACACGAGGGGGTGGGTGGACAGCCCCACACGGGGCCGCCGCTGGTGTTGGCCGTGAGTCGAACTCGGCTCGCCGGGTTCGTGACTCAATGCGCTAACCGCTACACTACCGCTCCCAACAATACATGCATTTGTAGAGCCCCTTAATCAGTCCACTGCTGGATGAGGGCTGGGTACATCCGAATTCCAACATCATCATCATCATCAGCAGCAGCAATGCTAAATCCACTGCTGGATGAAGGCCCAGGACCGGTTCAGATAATCGCCACTGGTGTTGTTGGCCCTGAACTGTGGTCGGTATTCGTAGCGCAGCTACGCACACTACAATCACGCACGCCATCGTCACCATAACCACAACCTGCAGTACACTTACAGTACAGCCACAGTACACCTATAGTGCAGTCACAGTACACCCACAGTACACCTTGACACAGTGCACTCACGTAAACGCGTTACAATCTCCATTCCACACGCACACACACTCACTCGCTCACTCGCCACGCGCACCATCGCCACCACCAGCACGGACCCATACAAACATCATCCTCCGTCGCATCTCTGCTTTTCCACTTAAGACCCCTTTCCGGAAAATGAACCCAGTCACCCGCTTTGACACAATGTCCTGTGTGTGTGTGTGCGTCACTACGTGAGACACGGACACGGTCTTAGGGGCCGTTCGAGTGCACTGCCCTGCCGTCGGCGTGGCCACCAAGCGCACCATCGGAACAGCGTCAGCAGGCCGATGATGCGCACAGCTCCGTCGCGAATGGGTTAAACGTAAAGACAAGCGCCTCCACAGCAGTGCGATTGTGGCCACGAAAACCCAGACTACTCCGGACCCCGGCAGCAGCTCCGCTGGATCGTCTCGGCGTTCCTTCGACGGACGCGGAGGAACGGCGAAACGACACCGACTCTCTGCCGCAAACTCTCTCGCGGCAAGCAATAAGCACGACATTGGCATTCAGCTTCCGAACACATTTGTCATCGTACGCAAGAATATTGCTGCACTGCCCCTACGGTATACAGAATCGTGGCCCGAGTTTAGAAGTATTACGGGATATATTTGTTAAACAGAGCAGTGGGGGAACTATATGCCACGATGATGTAATTGATTAGAGAGGCGTTGCGCGGTTTGCGCATTGTGGATGTGGCATGAGTTTGATTCTCGGTCACGGACAACATCAGCGACGGCGGGCGATGTCTGATCCGGTCCCCTGGCCCTGCTATCGGCGTGCCACAGCGTGGCTTTAGCATGACCAACACAACCCCCCTGTGAACCTACACGGCGTGAGCAGCAGGGCCACTATAACTACTCTTTGTTTTGTCGGTAAAGTCACGTAGGTAAAAAAAATTAAAATTAATCCAAATGAAAAAATAATAATTTGAATTTCCTTTTTTTACCTACATGACTTTACAGAAAAAACTAAGAGTATGAATCCTTGCAGTCACGAAAGCTTCAAATCTCACAGGGCCACTGTCACCCAGCAGTTGATTGACGAAGCCGTGCAAGTGACAACTTCTCTTTAAATGTTGTTCGTGTGGCCTTTTTTTGGTGGGGGGGGGGGGGGGGGTTGATTTGAGTGTCGTAAAATATAAACATTCACATCAACTACAGGACCACGAATGATATTGGTAATGTGTCGGTCCTTTATCAATTTGCTTGGCGATGAAAGGCCTCCTCTCAACCTGTTCATTGATTTTTTTTTTGGGGGGGGGGGGGGGTGACCATACTTCATCACAATGATTCGTGAGCGTTCGTGCAGGGGATGGATGGGCCCAGGGCCGATTTGAATGTCACTCGCCACTGACGTTAGCCGCGTAGGCATGGAATTAAAACCCGGTCGCGGGGTGGTAATTGTGTTCGAGTGGTGCGTTAACCACTACGCTACCGCTGCCCACCAATCGCGTACACCTGTACATTTCTCGGACCCTACAACAACAACAACCACTCTCTTTGAAATAAAACAGGCATTCGCAGACAGAAGGATATAGACAAGGTTTAAATTTTTATTATTTGTTAAATTTCACCCCATAGCCTAAATACCATGAGCAGCACAATACATGTCAACACATTTAACTGTAGTTACACATTCACTTCACACCGACAAAGTGCCATCATTCTTATATACCTCGATTTATCTCTCGTAGCAATAATAAAATCTGTAATTTACATGATAATGTTTTTTTTCTTTAAAAGTATAACATTTGTTTAAAAAAAAAACAAGCAAATATATTCTGCAGCCGTAAGATACACTTCAATTTTACGTATGCATTACGCGCGCGCGCGCGTGTGTGTCTGTGTGTTGCATAATTGCGTCAATGTAACGTAAAATAATATGCATTCCGGTTATATATATGTATATGTTGTACAGGGTGTCCATAAAGTGTCACCGATTCGTAAAGAAACCTACTGTAGTCAGACATCAGTGCGAGTTACGTCGATACAACTGACGTCACATCATCCCAACCTCAACCATTCTCACGATGCCCTGCTGCAATGTCGCAGGGCATTCATTCAAAGGACAGCAGCAGCAGCTACCCACATATGGGTTACATCCCTTTTAATAAACCTGCACGACGCTCCTTGAGGATGTCAGACAGTTCCGTGGGTTGTTTCCCCCAAATCTCGGTTGTGACAATTTCTCAAATGCTTCTGGCATGTTCCGTTTAAAGTCACTCGAAGCTTTTCGGCTTCACAAAAAACATCTTGAGTATAGGAAGATTTCTTTTAGTTTTTTTTTTACTTGAGCCAAGGGACGGGAAGAAGCGTCCGAGGAGATGGAGTGATGAAAATAAGCTCGTGTGCAAAGTGTTACTGTGGATGGGTTCACATTGTAGCGTATCTTGAGAGCTGGTGGCGGCTCGGCTGTGCCTTCATCTAGCTGTGGATCGATCAAGGCAGCTGATGATGATGATGATAAGAAGTACGTTGCAAATATTTCGAAAGCAACTTTCACACCGCCGTTTAACTGTCATCGGTTGACAATGGATGATCTAACTTTAGGGACACCTTGTGACCGAGTTGAAACAATTAACTCAAAATCTCCGCTGCTTTGAATCAGCCGTGTGTGTAGGTACTGTATATTCGGTGTGTATCAAACACAACGCGTTCGCCAATAACACTGTGGCTTTAAAAACAACGATAGAATAGGCGACGTTTCAGGCAATGGCTCTTACGCATAACACGTGCGATGAAGATTGCCCATTGTTTGGAACGTCACGTATGTATATTTTTCCTTTGAAGGCCACCCACAACGTTACTGATGAATGTGTTACGTTTTTTTGTATGTGAATTGTGATGGTGCCCATACTGGTAACGCAATAGAAGCAGCATCGACAACTCGTGTGTGTGCGTGCGTGTGTGTATGTGCGTGTGTGTGTGCGTGTGTGCATGTGTGTGTGTGTGAGTGTTTGTGTGTGTTTGTGTGTGTATATACAGGGTGGCCCAGAAATTAGGACACAGGGTTATTTCATACATTTTAACACTGGGCATTAGACCATTTTAATTGTTTATTATTTAAGTAGTTTCGTGAAAAAAAATAATATCATTATTAATATATATTTTCCTTCTTTTTCAGATGACATTTAACAATGGAAAGAAAATTGTCTATAGACAAACGAGTTCAATTATTCTTTACGTATGCTAAAGAAGGCAGCTGTAATCTTTAAACAAAAAATATATAAATTATCTTCAAGAGATAATGCATAGACCATGCATTAATGTTAGCGCGAGTCAGTTTGACACAGTTGTTAAAATAAATGAAATAACCCCGTGTGATTGTTTTTGTTCAAATAAATATAATAACCCTGCGTGTGTCCTGACTCTTGGGCCATCCTGGACACAGCCGTACAGCTGTGTACGGGCACGCCAGCCAGCTCTGGTCGCCCTTGTAACTTTGTCTGCGGCGTAAACAACAACAACAACAGCAGCCCCCAGTGCCCTGCACCGCCGAACATCGAAGGATATCGCCGCGACATACATCACGGCGCGGCCGTACAAAGTGTGAAACAACAAACGGCACCACGAACACCATTATGCTGCGTGGCACACTTACGCATGTACGTGCGCACGTATGTTGAGCTTAATTCGTACCCTATGCAGCCAAACATGCTACAGTAGAGGCAGCGCACAATGTCTCGTGGAACGTTTTGCCGGTAGGGGTGGGGCACGTTGGGGGGGTGGGATGAGTGGAGGGTATTTTCCGGAGCCCAGCCCTGGACAGCTCCGACTGAATGTAAATCCACCCCCCCTCCGTACGTCATCATCATTATCATTATTATTTATTACATGCACACACACACCACTGGCGCTGTGTAAAGCTCGGTGGTGTGTGTGTGTGTGCGCTAGTTTTCACTGGTGCCAACATTGCCATACGTGAATGTGCGCGTCATCATCACCACCACCACATTCTACCCACGTGTACAACGATGGCTATACAGGTACAGGCGACCACACGCGTTAACGATGGGAAGGACGGACAAATATGGTGGCGGGGAGGAAGCTACAACCAAATAAAATAATAGCAATTTACAAATTAAAATCTAAAGTAAGAAATATGAAGCCAATCGACATCAATCTATCTCAATAGTAAAAAAAAACTGGAGCAATTACATCGATGTCGCTCAATAAACTCGTCACAATAATCATTGTGACGTCGCTCTCAGTAGGAGGGGCGCTGTAGCCGACGGGATTGGAAATCAGAACGATGAAAATCCGAGACATTCATAATCACCCCCCCCCCCCCCACAATTGTAGTCAGATAGCCCCCCCCCCCCCCACACACACACCGCCTCATCCTCCTCACGTAGTGTAAACCCACGGCTCCCATGGCCACAGCTACACGTTGCATACTCTATCCACTGCTGGATGAGGCTCCCCTCCCTGCCCACGCCGTGTGGAGTCGTGAAGCTGGCAGGGTTTTGTTTGACGATAATTCACTGTATACACACACACACACAGACACACACACATACACACACACACGTGTGCGTGTATGTACGTGTGTCTCTTAGTTCCTTAGGCATAGCCTCTAGTATAAATAATGCCTATACCCTGCCTGTTCTCGGAAGTGTGTCGCCAGCTTTACGGCGCGGCGAGCGAGACGAAGATGAGAGACCCCGGAGTGGATGATGATCGCACGGCCGCGGCAAGTATCTTCTTCACACACACACAAAACAATTATAATAAAGTTATTTAAGGCACCATCTCGAGAGTGTGTAGGCATGTGTGTGTGTGTGTGTGTCTGTATGTATGAACCAGTGGCGATTATCTGAACCGGTCCTGGGCACCACCTAGGTCGACTCAGCCTCAAAACGAGTAGTAAACATCACCACTGGGGAGACAAAGGCGGTCGGGCGTGGTGCTGGCAACCCACCCACTAATGTACCGTTCCGGCCTTCATTAGGTGCTCGCCAACAGCACTTGCCCCTTAGGTCTGTTAAGGCTATACGGATGATCTTTGTCTTTGCATGTATAAACACACGTATGTATCTATGTGTAATACGTATGCACATACGCACACGTATTACACGTATGCACATACGCATATTGACACATACGTGTGCGCACACATGCGCATGTATGTGCGTGCGTGTGTTTCTAGGTTGGTGCGGTGTGTCAAAAAAATAAAAACCATCGCCACTTGGGAGATAAAAGGCGACCGGGCGTGGTGCTGAACACCCACCCCCTCGCGTGCCGTGCCGTGGCCTTCCTAGCTGCTGCTGCTCGCTGACAGCACTTGCCCCCAAAGTAAGTGAAGGCTATGCGGAGGGGAGGCATCTTTGCCTTTGTCTTTTGCGCATGCACATTGACTGCGCCACCAGCCCGGCCCAGCCGAGTTCGACTGGTGCTCACAGCCAACGTCGGTCACGAATATTCTGAACCTGTCCTGGGCCTCCTCTAGGTCGACTCAGCCATAAATGAGTTTGCCTGGCGCGGCATGTAAACACTGGCACGGGGGGGGGACAAAGGCGGTCGGGCGTGATGCTGGCAACCCATCGCTTCGCGTGCCTGGTCCATCTTTGATTAGCGCTCGCTAACAGCACTTGCACCAAGAGTCCGTTGAAGGCTATACGGGTGATCTTTGTATTTGCTCTGCAATGCATCCACGGTGTTGATAGGTTAGGCGTTGTAACGATGTTCACTTGTCGAGGAGATTCGATGGATCAATGGGCACGCTATCGATTACAATCTTGTCTAGTATTGTGTGGTCTCGTTTGAGCGGGTTTTTACCTATCCCATCAGTATAACTGGACATCATCGGATTCCTCCAGTATAAATATTCTGTCTCTGTCACTTGATAAACTTTACCAAATATCCCCGACAAACTGGAACAACGCCGGCTCTGCACACACGCGACTCGATGCGTGAACTCGCTCGTCGCAAGACTTAATCACAATCGACGGTCACACTCCCAATATGTATACTCTGCACAAATATCGTTGCAACACGGAGGCGAGTTGAAGCACGTGCTCGCTATAACATACAGGGTCAAACACACATACAACAAAAGTCCGTGTAGCCTCCGTAAACTGTTGGGGCAAGTGCTGTTACCGAGCACCGAGTAAGAACCCGACACGGCGCGAGGCGGGGGGAGGCGGAGGCCAGGACCACACCCGGCCGCCTTTGTATCTCTGCGCAGCACTGCTACTTACACAACCACACCAGGCTATTCAAGAGAGAGAGAGAGAGAAAGAGACGCGCGCGCGTGCGTGCGTGCGTGCGCCGACAACACGCAAGGAGCGGTCAACGCAACAACAAACAAAATTCGCACACTCAAAAAGCGACCTCACGTCATCGGTTGCCGTTCGTTCGCTCGCTCGCTCGATCGGTCAAATCGGTCGATGGGGCCCAGAGATCCGTCAAGACTCCCGACCGCCCACGACCGACGGCGGCAGCGCCGAATCGGGCAGGCGGGTGATGAGAGCTCGCAGCGTCCCCAGCTCTCGCACGAGCTCGTCGATCCTGCGTCTCAGTTGGTCGTTCTCGTTCGAGAGTTCCATGGCCCGCGACGAGGTCTCCAGGGACCTGCGCTTGGCTTTGTCTCGACTCTTGCGCACCGCGATGTTATTCCTCTCCCGCCGCAGCCGGTACTCGTCGCTGCCCTTGTCCAGAAGTTTCTTGCAGTTCTTCTGGGACTTGGAGCTCTGCTGTTGCTGCTGCTGCTGCTGACGCTGCTTGCTCAGACACGCGCCGTGCACCTCTCCGGGTTCGCGTTTCATCCATGCGCGCGATTCGCTCGCAACCGCGTGATGTTGCTGCTGCTGCTGCTGATGTTGCTGCTGGTGCTGCTGATGATGCTGCTGCTGCTGTTGGTGGTGTTGGTGGTGATGGACGGATTCTAACCTGGAGTCGGTCACCTGCGGGACACAGCCAGCGAAGAGCTGGTGCTGCGCTTGCAGAGCCGGGAGCACCTGCAGCGATGGCAGCGGGTAGAGGTAGTCGTAGGCCGACGCTTGCGCTTTGGTTGCGGCTCCTCCGTGTTCTCCCGACTTGGCGAACAACTCGGCCAGGAGCTCGTCGCTGTACAGCTCGATCCCGGGCCCGGCGGACGACGAGGGCTCGATGTAGGAGCTCAGGTCGATGGAGTGCTCGTACGCGTCGCCCAGGTCACTGCCCATGCCCTCGTCCGCCTGCAGACCCGACCCCGACACGCAGAAGCCCTTGCCCAGGAACGGTCTGTCGAGGTCCGGGTAGAAGTTGGCGCTTTCCATCGCAGGTCGATTTTGAAGCGTTGCTGTTGTTCGTTTGGTGGTTGTCGTTGGAGTCCAGAGGCGACGATGGCAGTGGCTGTTTGTTATCGCGCGCCCCGGCCCAGATACAGCAGCGTGCGTGGGGGAGCAAGACGGTCTTGACACCGCGGCGCGTTCGATGATGAACGCACGGCGTGCTCCCAACGTCTTCAGCAAAGCCCTCCTCACTCTCTCTGCTCCTGGTCGCCTTGACGGTGTTGGTGGTGATGAATGGGGTGGGGGTAGGGATGGGAGTTAGTTCCCGAACCAACTGGCGAAGGAGGGGCTTGGTGGCTACGATTTGCAGATCGGCGGCTCGGCAGCTTCAGTTATCTGTTATTTCAAGTTCGCCGAGTCTCCTCCAGTGGCGCCGCACGCTGCTGCTGCTGCGAGACCGTGGAACGAGTTGCGCTGCAGAGCGTGCCCGTGGCGCGGGTTTATATAGCGGCGCATTTAAATATCCGTGACGTGAGCTGTTACTACGTGAGGCTGAGCCGCTCCCCTTTCTCGACCACCACCCCCACAACCATCGCTTGTCTTTTGCCGTCTTCACGCGAACCTTCCCCTCCCTCCACGACCCCCACCACCTCCACCACCTCCTCCTCCTCATCTCTCTCTCTCGCCTTTTGCTCCCACAGTGTTCATGTACTCTTAAGTGCGCGCGCGTGTTTCATTGTAAGTATTTTATGACGACTGCTCGTACAGTCGTGTGCACTCCACCCCCCCTCGTATCACCTCTCCCCTCGTCCCCCGGCCCTAAGTTCTTATAACCTTGCTTAATTTGCAACGTAAAGTATGAACTCTTTTTTATCAGTTACACGGCCTTCAACAAGTGCTGTTTGTTACAGGCCGATCGGAGTTTTAGGCGTATGGGCCTGTAGCTCAGCAAAAGTGATAAAGCAAAAACTTTTTGGTATTTTACCAGGTAAGGCCCACTGGGTGGCGGGGGGTAGACCCAGGACTGGTACAGATAGCACTTGCCGCTGATGTTATCCGTCGCCGGCAAACGAACTAAGTTCACAGAGTTCAGTTCACTAACCGCTGAAAAACAAAAAAAATATATAAATTAAACTACATTTTTTATTTCATCAGATGAGGCCCACTGAGCTATGTAGCTTTTTTTCAGAAGCGACCTGGCCACAAATGATAGCTCAGCCAAGTGGCTTATCACGTAGACATTTATAGCAGCCGAATACTCTAAGCGCGTGTTTCTAAATGCGGAGGGAAAAACCGGAGGACCCGGAGAAAAATCCACGCCACCACGTGGAGAGAGAGACACGCAAACTCCAAATATACAGCAGCAGCAGCAGGCGTCAGGGTCTGGATCAAACCCACGACCTCCTGCATACCAGGCGAGGCCGTGGCGCAGTCAAGTTCACGCACCCTTCAAACACATGTTCAGCGCCGAACTGAACGAGTGATGAAGCGACGTGTGTGTGCCTTTAGTCTGCCGTGCTTTCTGTTCTCGTTCATTAGCTCTCAACTTCTACGCGTACGAGACGAGGACATATCTTAATTGCATAAATGTTTGAACAAAAACAGGTTTTTTTTTACTTCAACGATCTGGCAGGGTGTACGATGCGGGGACTGCTACTCGCTACTCAGTTACAAGTGAATCTTCAAGGCGTGAGCGTGCCTAAGGCTCAAGACGCAAATTAAAATGTTGTCAATATTATTATTCTGTTAACATTAATATAGACGGTAATTACGTATTAAAAAACGCATACAAAAAACATAGATCACTCTTCACGAACTGTTGTCATCATTTTTTATTTAAAGCTTTCGTGACTGCAGGGATTCATATTCTTGGTTCTTTCGGTAAAGTCACGTAGAAGGGAACTAATAAAATAATATAAATATAAAAAATATATTTAAAAAAATATTCATATTATTTTATCATTCCCCTTCTACGTGACTTTACCGAAAGAACCAAGAATATGTTGTCATCATCTCATCAACAGCGACTGTCTGTAACACTTTCGAGATGAAGACCTCGGGCTGCCGTTCATTCACCAGTCTCGGCCACGGACGGATACTCGACGCAGCATTGGAAGCTCTCCCGATGTGCGACTGTCGTGGTCACCCAGCGTCGTCACCATGGGACGCATAGCGAGCGACTCGACGCCTGGTTCGCAAAGGGCGGAGGAGGAATAATCGCAGCAGAATTCACCCGCACCTCCCATTAGCACGTGCGCGAATGTTGAACTTATTTCGCACCGTACGGAGACAACCGTGCTTTAAGCGGAGGTGCGTGAGGGGGGGGGTCAAACACTACGTACGGTGCGCCAGAAGTCCAACATACACACAGCAGCGACTCGCCTCTTCGCTACTCCCGACGCAATCATCTGGCTCAACCGCGGCGATGTAAAATCACAGCTGCTGGCTCTACATCAACATCAGCTGATTCCCACTTTCCTAAGAGTCAACGTGATGGCCCCGATGTGCGCTTGTGTTCCTCTTTCTCTCTGTTATTGCAATAAAAAAAAACCCATCAAAAACACATATGATTCAATCCACTGCTGGATGAGAGTCTTTTTCTTACTGAGTCGCGGCTTCGAGTTGCGAACACATCACAGCGGTGCCCGGCTTGCGGGTTCGTGAAGGCGCGCGGGCATCATAGATGCGCGGGTGGTCACCGCATCATCGCGCGCTTTCAGATGCGCATCTGTGGCCGTCTGGAACGCTCTTCTTTCCGATGGATTTGGGAAGCTACTTTTAAATCCAGATTGACAAACTCATTTCTTTAGAACTTCTTTCTAGCACGGATGGCTACCTACTGTGGAGAAAAAAGTTCAACATACATACGCACATGGAGGGACCACAGTGCAGTACTATACAACAACATACATTTGCTGCACTGGTCTCTGCTGCCAAATACGTATCCCCGCAGTAGCCTGAACCATTGCATGTCTGGCGATCGCATATCAAATCACGATTCAGACTCAAATCTTCCTGTTCAGCTTCTGAGACTGACGAAATCGGGTCCATGCCGTGTGATTTGGTCATAGGCAACGCCGACTTACCATCGCGCTCGGCGCGGGTTTGGTTTGTGCGATTTCGCGTATACGCGGCTGAACTATTTGTACTCAAAATTCGCTCTACGCTGTTTGAATTCACCATACATGCGGCGATGATGTCGGTCGTGGGACAACATTGTATGTGTGTGTACTGTGCGTAGCGTGTGTACTCGTGTGTGTGCCGTGTGTACTGTGTGTAGCGTGTGTACTCATGTGTGTGCCGTGTGTACTGTGTGTAGCGTGTGTACTCATGTGTGTGCCGTGTGTACTGTGTGTAGCGTGTGTACTCATGTGTGTGCCGTGTGTACTGTGTGTAGCGTGTGTACTCATGTGTGTGCCGTGTGTACTGTGTGTAGCGTGTGTACTCGTGTGCGTGCCGTGTGTACTGTGTGTAGCGTGTGTACTCATGTGTGTGCCGTGTGTACTGTGTGCAGCGTGTGTACTCATGTGTGTGCCGTGTGTACTGTGTGCAGCGTGTGTACTCATGTGTGTGCCGTGTGTACTGTGTGTAGCATGTGTACTCGTGTGCGTGCCGTGTGTACTGTGTGTAGCGTGTGTACTCATGTGTGTGCCGTGTGTACTGTGTGTAGCGTGTGTACTCATGTGTGTGCCGTGTGTACTGTGTGCAGCGTGTGTACTCATGTGTGTGCCGTGTGTACTGTGTGCAGCGTGTGTACTCATGTGTGTGCCGTGTGTACTGTGTGTAGCATGTGTACTCGTGTGCGTGCCGTGTGTACTGTGTGTAGCGTGTGTACTCATGTGTGTGCCGTGTGTACTGTGTGTAGCGTGTGTACTCATGTGTGTGCCGTGTGTACTGTGTGCAGCGTGTGTACTCATGTGTGTGCCGTGTGTACTGTGTGCAGCGTGTGTACTCATGTGTGTGCCGTGTGTACTGTGTGTAGCATGTGTACTCGTGTGCGTGCCGTGTGTACTGTGTGTAGCGTGTGTACTCATGTGTGTGCCGTGTGTACTGTGTGTAGCGTGTGTACTCATGTGTGTGCCGTGTGTACTGTGTTCGCTAGTCGGGAGGCAGCTGTCTCCTCGTGCGGTTCAGCTTTGTGCGCGTTCCCCCATTTTCTTGGAAACGCATCTACCACTCCCACCACCGCCGCATAGAACGAGGGAGGGGGGGAATCTGTAGACGCGAGAATTGAGACCGCGAAAGGACCGAGTCGGTCGCCGTTTGCTTCGGTTTGTCCGTAACGTTTCGGCGACACTAACTCAAGGCGGCTGCGGCGGTTAACAACTCGTCCATTGTCTCTGTAAAAGAAAACAACCCTCTTGCTCGCCACGCCATCTCCCCCAACAACGACCAAACATCAACTTCGGGCCTCTCCCACGCACAGAGTACACAACGCGTGAACACCCCCCACACCCCACCCCTAAAACATCGATTCAGACCTCGTGGTTAATATAAAAAAATAAATCTAATGCATTTTTCGATTTAAAGCTTTCGTGACTGCAGGGATTCATCTTCTTGGATTCTTTCGGTAAAGTCACGTAGAATGGAAATAATAAAATAATAAAAATATAAAAAAATATTTTTAAATATTATTTTATGATGTTTTATTTTTATTACTTTATTATTTCAATTCTACGTGACTTTACCGAAAGAACCAAGAAAATCTAATGAACTCAAGTGTAATGACAATTGTGTAGTAATGAATCAGGATCGGGTTATTCATGGGCTACGATTGTGGATATCGCGATTGTAGAATCCCCTTGCGCCGGTCGATGAGAGTGAATCTGAATGTGTTCCACTTTTTTTTTAAATCGCGTCTTAAAAACGCGCCTGTGTGTGCTGCACGCTTCATGTGGCCCTAAGAGTCAGGCCTTGTGCTGTAGCAAACACGAGTTTATGGACATTACTGTAATGAGCTGTGCATAATTTCTGTAAGCCTTATTCTGTCCTCAATAAAACCCTATGTTCATATAAACATATTCATAGTATTGTAGGAACGCGGGGTGCAATAAAGTAGGAGTATTATTATGGATTCACGTACATTGTACAGTGAACCACACAAAACTATTTAAAACAAATGTAATAGCTATAAAGATTTTTTTTTTCAAAAGCGACCTGGCCACAAATGATAGCTCAACGAAGTGGCTTATCATCATGTGCAAATGTATAGTCGCCAAATGCTCGAAACCCACGTTGATTCAAAATGTGGAGGGCAAAACCCAGAGGACTCGGAGAAAAATCAACGCGACCACGGATAGAACACGCAAACTCAAAATATACAGGCGTCAAGGTTGGGGTCAAACCGAAGACCTCGTGTATACCAGGCGAGGTAGTAAACATCTCGCCACCCCGGGACCCAAGTAATCTAGTGTTCGCACCTAACACACACTGACAATCTATGCTCCATGCCAGCCCTTGAAGCGATCTCGAAAATCTCGAATGAGAAGTCACCCTGTGCATGAAAGTTGATGTAAAACCCGGACATCAGCCCGTGCGATAGAGACAGCTGAGAGATGGCAATCGCTTCAGGGATGGTGGGATCATTCATCCATATTC